GTGAGCAAATGCAAATACTATTTTTCCACGCGCGCTTGTTTCTTCTGGTCATGTAAGATTTGTTAAATAAAAGGGAACTCTTTAGCTACAATGTGTCAATGTTATGTTATAAAACAAATGGTAAACACCACAGCGTACACTATTGAGTTATGGATGCACTTGGGAGGTTTGCTAAGCACTCAAGAAGCTAGAGTGACTCTTACGCTTCTTTCGTGCTTAGCAACCTCCTGCGTGCATCCATAACTCAAAAGTGTACGCTGTGGTGTTTACCATTTGTTAACTAGGTTAGGAGTCCCTCACCTCCTCTCCTTGCAGCTCCCATGACTTCCTCATTAAACCCAAACTGACCCATCAGAGGACCAAGCTGACCTGACTGCAGAGCAGAACTGAACAATCCCAAGGCCTGAGCATAACATAAGCGGAGAAACAACATTAATAATACTTCATCCAGGACATTGCATTGTGTTCTTAGGAAAGACCCTATACTCTGACTCACAGTGCCTCTCTTCACCCAGGTGTTTACCCCCCCACCCTGGCTGGGGGGGTAAACCAGTGTTGGACTGGCATCCCATCCAGGGGGGGGGGGGAAATAGAAATACTCCTAGTTCGCTTTACGCCCCGGAAACCAAAGTTAAGCACTGGCCTGACGGACCACTTGGCTCATAAACAGACTTAACCTTTACCTATCAAACTACAGTTGTGACTTGGGTTGCACATAAAGGTGATTTTTCTTCCCACAAATTTGGCTAATTAGCATCTAAGAATACCTTACTTGGGGTAAGCTACGTTAGTAAGTGTAAGGGGCCAGTACACTTACAATAATTATTAACCACACATCAGTCACCAACATACCTGCTGAAACTGAGGGGAACGCAAAGTGCTTGACAATTCAGTTGGACTCTGAGGCAGTTCCTCACCAGCAGGAAGGAAAGGGGCAAGCTGTTGACGGAACTCTGGGTCCGACAACAGCGGCATGATTGAATCAGGTGTGAAAACCCTGGACAGATCCACATCTGGAAAGAAGAATTAGGAAGAAGTTAAGATTGTGAAGAAGGGAGTTATATGTTTTTCATTTTCAGTGCATGGTTTTTCTAAAACTGTCCATCTTTTACAATTCTGGTCATATTTTTACTGCTGCTGCAAGCTTGAAAATTTATAGAATCAATCTCCTGGTTTCAGTTTCATTTTCAAGGAAAAAAATAGCTAAAATTAGTAGATAATTTCAATTTCAACTCATGAAAGCTGAGGCCCTTTATTCCGAAAGTTTACTAAAAACTGCGTGACAGACTGAGGCATTAAAAGATATAAAAAAATAAATTCAACTTACTCTCTCTGCTTGCTTGCTCTGCACTTTCTGCAGGCACTGTTTAAAAAATGTCACATTTAAGTGTTTATTTTAGACATTTTTCAATACATGTAATTATATTTCATATTTTTATTTATTATAAAATAATTGTATTTAAGTGTCCCCGATTAGTGTACACTGTGCGCTGGTGATTTTGACACAATTAAACTAAAGTTCTTACTTACTTAGTTACTTTGTATCCATAAACAAATTTATCTCTCTGGATTCCTCTGCTAGTGATACTAAAATTCATACTTAAACTATCCAATCAAAAACAATTTGAGATCATCAGTTTGAAAAACACAGTCACTGATTTAACCTAAGAGTGATATAAGTACACCAACAGTATTGCCCCTGAATCAGCCATCAAGGTCGTGAAAGCAAACAAAATGATGCCAAACTCAAGATGCACTTGATTGTTAGAAAAATGTCCTCATAATGTACCATAGGAAATGTTATAGAGAACAACATGGAAAACTTGTACACAATTGCTTACAAGTCAGAGTGAGTGCTCTATAGGTTTGCTTAACTGGGTATGGCTTTTCACCAGTATTACCTTGAATATTGGACAAAATATTCTGCAAGTCAGTCAGCTGCACAGCATTCCGAGCAGGAGGCTGGGTTGGACGGGATGGAGCAGCTGGAGGCACTGAAGGTGTAGCTGTTGCAGGGCGCGGTGTGGTGGTCCCTGATGATGAAGCTGAGGAAGTCCTCCTGGGCCCTGGTGACGACTGAACCCTTGTGGGCCTATGCAAATGTAAAAGTACATTACTCTTAACAATTAGAAAAATTTCTAACAATTTATGAAATAAATGCAAGGTAACTCACAATTTCTGGTTTGTAAGATAGTTTCATCAAACCTTTTACTCCTAACGATGATCAAAAATGGTTTTTACTTCACAATATCGATACTACACAACTCGGGCAGTCAGAGTGCCAATGACTAAGATCAACCAATCAAACTGCTCTATTGCCGGTCAATATTCTCTCAGTATTGGACCGGGCACTGTCCCAAATGGTCCTGAATGATACCGCACTTGTGTCCCTTTGAACTTCAGTCGTATAATAAATCTCTTATTAACCAAGCTTGCTCGGGACCGTANTACCAGAAAAAGATCAATCATAGGTCAAAGTTGGTGGAAACAATGTTCATTATATTAAAGTGCTAAAATTGTGGGCAAGACTTCAAAGTATTTTCCATTGCAACATTGATAGTGAAATTACATTCAATGAACAGTGGCTGAAGATGACTTCTCAAGACTCGACTTTGGATTTCTGGATTCCTTTCACAAAACTTTTTTTCCAAAATTTGAGCTGCTAAATTCAGGGTGTGGCTTTTCTGCGGGTGCAGCTTATTTGTGGGTGTTTACAGTAAGAAAAAATTGTCTACTTTCTGGGGGATATTGCCTACTTTATCCCTTTCAATTTCCCCCTCTAACTGCTACACATTTCCTAGTAAATGAGCTACAAGAATATGGTGTTTGATCAAGATAAAAACTTCTATCTGTGATAAGTTTGAGTATTCTCATTATGTGTTTGCTGGATTATGTATGGATCTTATGGGGAGAATTTACATGTTAATCACCTCTGGAAGTTGAGGGATTAACACTAATTCTCTATCTAAAATTAGAAGATAATGCCTGATTAACAATAAGGAGCACTAAAAATTTGATGATTAGAATGAAGGGAATAAAGGTGTGATCTTGAAGAGGGGTTCTACTAAATTTCACTGCATAAAAATGTTTTTGACTTACGTAGGAGAAGCAGCAGTGGGTGCAGTCACTGAGCTGCCAGCACTGGACAATCCACCATGACCACCCAGTCCTCCATAACCACTCAGTAACTGAAGCAATTGCTGCTGGTCCAGATTTCCCAGCAGGCCTTGTAGCTGGCCATCACCTGTTAAATGACAATAATGGTTATACATCAGGGGCCCATTTATTGAAAGTCTTGGTAACTTGATGGGCCTGAAGCCACGTTTTAAAATCAAAATTTAAAGGATAGGAAATTAAGGCAGGTTCTGGCACCCAAAGCAGTCCTTTTTGTTTCTTTAGCTGATAGTCTTAATGTATCATTTTCAATTCTTTTGAAATCCCCATCTTCAATGAAAACAAAACAGCTTTATGGGCACATTAAGTTACCAGGACTTTCGAGAAATGGTCCTTGGGCCTGGTTGTTCAAAACATGGTTAACCTAACCCAGGTTTGGTGTTAATTTAATTTAGTTTTATACCTTTGCAAAGGCATTTTTCTTCTGTTTTTTTTTCTCTTTTAATTTCTAGTCATATTGATAGAAGACCCAAACAAAGCCTTTAGTTAGCTCTTATATAATATGTGCTCTTCTACATAAGAAATTAAAAGCCAAGGTTAACTTCAAACCTAGATAAACATTAACCCCATCATGAACAACCTGGCCCAGAAAGAATGGAACTTTGGATTCCATGTCAAAGGGCTGGGTCCATTGTATACACTGGCCCTTACTCTTGGCCACGACACCAATGGGTTTCTCTAAGTATACTCTTTTGCAATTCAGTTGAAGAGGATTAGTCTGCCTCATATTTGCTATGTAAGTTATTTTGGAAAGTAATGGTTATGTCAGTATTCAGGCTAGGTGGGTCACAATGCAGCAGTAGCTCTCAGTTTACAGACTTATCAATTTTCAATGAATAGTGTTAATTAACGCAAATTTGCTGCACATTTTTCAGATGTTCTTGCAGATAAGCCACACCCTTATTTGTTTAGACCATTTGGAACAAAAGATTTGCAGATTTTCAGCTAGTTTTTAAGGTAGCTTTTACTGTCAGGAATTGTCATTGATTTTCAAACAAAGGTCTCTACATCTTAAAAAGGTTACATTCTAAAAATAACAAGCACACTCACCCAACTGCTCACTTAATCCAGCCAAAGCAGGGGGGAGGCCACTGCCACTGCCACCCGACCCTGGGGTGGGGGGGTTATTGAGCAAGTTGTTCACTTTTGTGCTGTACTCCTCGTCTTTGTCTGTCTTGGGTTCTTGCATCCAGAAAAAAAACTTGCGTGTGGATGACTTGAATTTTAGGATAAAGACCCTTCCTGTTGTGCACTGTTTGACACGCTTGTACTCAATGTCATCAGGGAAGATGATGAGATCCTGAAATTAGGGAGAACATTTTGAGTTGACTTACAGAATGATGCATTGTCTTTCCTCGACACTTTGACCCCTGACAATGACTAACATCTAATTTCTCCTCACAATATCATCCTGAATGACACAACACAAGGTCAGGAGAATACATAAATAATGAATGATTCATTTAAAGTTGATAATGTAGCAAGTGGTTGCCCAATCTTCCGAGCCAGTTGCTCAAGTTAAAAACACTTGACTCCTGATCGAATTGGAATTTGGAGCGTTGGTTATCGTGGAGGGAGGGAAACCGGAGAACCCAGAGAAAAACCCTCAGAGCAAGGACGAGAACCAACAACAAACTCAACCCACATGTGACGCCAGGTCTGGGAATCGAACCCGGGCCACTGTGGTGGGAGGCATGCACTCCAACCGCTATGCCATCCCTGCTCCCATGTAAAGGAAATGATCACCAAGTATAGAGGCTCTTGATTGTTAGCTAAGTTCTTGTTGTCAGTATCTTAGGATCTGTATAAACAGTATGGAAAGTATAAATACTGATGTTAGGGTCTAAAGAGTTAATCCTCTATAAAGGAATTTGGCTTTCTGTTCATCACGCACTCAGGATATGACAACAACAACAATTTTAAACATAATATATATAAAAAGAGGTTTTTGTGACCCTAACTTGAATTTCATGACTAGTCAAGCCTGGAAAATATTCTAAAATTCCATGGCCTGCATGAACCGTGATATTAGCAGTGATAAAGCCCAGGCCCCAGTAGTTCAAAGAAATCGCAATCCACATGATAAATCTCTATCCAGTGTAGAGCACAGTAAGTTCTGTTAGCACTTAACAGTTGGATAGTGATTTATCCAATGGTTAGTGTCATCCATCCTTTGAACAACTGGGGTCAAAAGTTTTCAGACACAAAATCAAAATCTGTCATTCAGTTTCCACTAGAGTCCCAAATTAGCCTAAATTACCATCCACAAGTTGGAATTTTTACAAAGGTACACACTGTTTATCCTCTACAGACTTTGAGGACGCATTTACAGTGTCCCAAATTAACTGAAAGAGGCTAAATATATCCACACTACAATGAATTTATTTTTAGTTACGGAGAGATTTCCGTATAACCCCATACTAATCAGACAGCCGTAATCCCAAGGTAATCTGTTGTTTTGCCTCTGTTTTCTTTAAATCAAGAATTGCATGCAAAATGAAGAATAGGGTTATAAAGAAATCTTGCGTTGGTTACCCCCAATAAGTTTGTACGCCATTTGTAAAGATTCGTTTCGCCTTCTCAGTTTATTCTCTAACGTCAATCTATAACCAATTTCTCAATTAAATCAAATTAATTCACATAACGATACAAAACTGATCGATAAGCGATTGTTTTAAAGAAGATCAAGGATTGAACGGAAGAGGCATATTTTCAGGAAAAAAAAAGGTGACTAATTAATTAGCATAATTTACGATATGTAATTTTCTCGAATCTGGTTTAAATCCAAGTGTTTCAGTTATTTATCTTGTACCAACATGTTGATGACGCTTAGGTTAGTGACACCTTGAAGTACAAAGCAAAGAAATTTCAAATCAACAAGAGTACGCGACAAAACAAAAGAATTCACTGCCTAAATTTTTGCTTACGTCTTCAACATTTCCCGTGCCCCGATCCTTCCAACAGAAGTGCATGAGCGAGTCATCACTGTGGTAAATGTATACCAATCCCTTTCTTTTATCCGGCGTGACAGTGGTGCCTTTCATAGTCATTTTTCCAGCGCGAAATTCGACAAGATTTTTGGACGAAGATCGGCCCACATGGCCGAAGAGACCGCTCGCCATCTTGATAAACTTTTCAGACTGACCCCGACTCGACTCGACACGACACATAGATTACTGCCAAGAGAGAGCCTGGAAGCTATCATTAGCAACCACGCACTCATTAGCGTTCAAAATGGCGGCCGTTAATGGTGAAAGTGTGCACGAGGAATCTCAAGGAAAATCATCAATCTGGACGTATGAAAAAGAGCAGAAGTTATTTGGAAAAGTGGATGAATACCTGGAGGATTCTGAGGAAAGGAGAGGATTTTACGTCAAGGATATCAATTGGAGTGATATCGCGTTTGATGGATTCACTGCAGACGAGGTCCACAAACGCTGGAGAGTCTTAACGTTGAGAGTCAGAAAAATGAGAAATGCTAAAGAGATTCTCGAGGATGCGAAGCAAAGGGCGGCAGACAAACAAACCAGTGAGGGATCTAGGAAAAGGAAAATGGACGATTCTTTCCCGAAGGCACCTTTAACTGCCTATCTTTTGTTTAGCAATGAAAAGCGACAACCGATGGCAGAGAAATATCCAGATCTGAACACCAGGGAGTTGCTGGCCAAAATTGGCAAGAAGTGGAGGAAGCTCAGCGCCGAAAAGAAGAAAAAGTATCAGGACATTTACCTGGAGGATAAAAAGAAATATGAGAGTGAATTGACACAGTATTTTCTCACAAACTTTCCAGAGGAAAAGGCTCCAAAGACCGCATTTGAACTTTGGTCGGCTAAGAAGGAGAAGGAGCTGAAAGAAGAGCATCCCAACATATCGGATAAAAGGTTGCAAAAAAAGCTAAAAAAGAGATGGGGCAGGCTAGATGATGAAGAGAAGGAAGAATTGGAGAAGAAATCTAAACAAGAAATGGACAAATTTCTTAGAAAAATGAGAAAGAGAGTCAAGGTTTGAAAGGGAATGTGGAAAGATTTCTGTACAGCCCTGTATTATTCTAAAACAAAGCCATAGTCTGATTAACAAATCAACAGTGGTTTAGCATGGTCTGTACTCTTATCAACAATGATATTTGTCATCAGGGTGGTCAAAATGTTGTGGACTCTTGAGGTGCAGCCAAGTGAGTCTGCAACAAATTTTGGCCATCGTGATGACAAGTATCACTGTCGAGAAGAGTACAGAGGGCACTAAACCACTGTCAATTTGTTTTTCACCTCAATAATATTTTATCAACCAAAAAAAATTTTTTTTCCAGGAGACCATGGCCTGACAAGTTGATGTGAGTAGCATTGTCTGTATTCTTATCATTAACTGCAATTAGGCCAATCAGATTGCTAATTTACTCTTAATTGTGGTAAAAAAGGTAATATATTTCTTTTGCCTTATTTTTTTTATCCAAGAACTGTCTGCATAATGAAGTATGGGGCTGTGCAGAAATCTTGCTTTAATTGCCATTGTTTTTGCTCTCCTTATAAATGCCTGAATTACTGAATGCAGAATTCTATTGTAACAACTTAGTTGATCAATTTTATCTTTGGATACCTGGAAAATTAGCTCTAAAAGAAAAAAAAAACTACTTTGAAACTAAACAAAACTAAGAAGAATTGTCTTGATGATGTTGTTTTGTTTGTATAAAACAATCAGATTAGAATGTTGTGTTTTAGCAATCATGCATTTGTAAGGAGGATGGCAACACCTTTCTTAGAAACAACAGCTTGGGGGTCCAGTTTGTAACCACTGTTTAAACATAGTACATGAATTTGTAAGCTTTTTTCCCCCCTTCAGATTCTCAATGGCCCTTCATGGGTACTCTTTTAAGCCTTGGGATCATATTTTTGGTTAGAAACTACATAAAAATATATTTACCTGCTCACTCCCGGGAGTGATAAACATTTTAATTTCTTTCTATAATAATATCCATAGATTATCCAGCAAACAGGTAGTGAGAATACTCAAAATTATCAGGTAGAAGTTGTTAGATTAATCAAACACCAAATTCTTTTTCACCCTATGCAATAAGAGAAGTACTGGGACCAAGTTTGACATGAAAACGAGGTCCTAAAGGCCTGGCCTTACTGTCTTATCTAATGAACTATTTATCACCAACTTCACTAAGTTGCAAGTGGGGAGAAGAATTAAGGATCAGGTCTTGGGAGTTTACAACCTCGTTCCTGGTTTCTCTCATCTTCTACCCCCCCTTTCCTCACTCGCTCCAGGGGGGCGGGAAGATGAGATACCCCCTGGGAATGAGGTTGGGGAGTTTAACCCTTTAATTCCCAGATGTGATTAACCTGTAACTTCTCCCTATAATATCCATACATCAACCAGCAGACAGGTAATGAGAATACTCAAACCTATTAGGTAGAAGTTGTTACCTTGATTGAACACCAAATTCTTATAACCATTTTACAAGGAAATGTGTAGCAGGTGGAGGGGAGAATTAAAATTATAATCATATGAGTTAAATAGTTTAGTAGTTGTTCTAGGATTTGTAGTAGAAATTTTTATTGGAGCTCTCGGTAGTTGTACGTGTTTATATCACTAAATGGGTGGAAGATTTTGAGCAAGAATTCTACCCTTGATTCTCGTCGTCAGTAATTATAAATATTATTGTGAAAACCATTCAGTGTTCCAAGCTGTGATTTTTCTGATCACCATGGAAAGTAGCGAAAAAATTTTGGCAACTAGAATTTTTTAGGGAGAATCGCTAATTTGGTGATCTCCATCTACTAATCCTACCTGTACTGGAAGCTGAAACATTTTCACTGCTTATTGTTTAGGGGTGAAATAGGGGAGATGAAAATTTGCATGAGATATTGTTGCTCTCTCTGCTCTGTGGTGATAGGTATTTTGCAATATATTCATTTTGTTTTTTTTCTGCTTCATTGGTGACTAAAACTGTACTTTATTTCTAGGGGCCAAAATGCTGTGCCTGGAGCACTGGCAACAACTAACCTTTGGGGGGAGATTTATTTCAAATATCTCTTGGGAAAGGGATTACCTCCCACCTCCTCTCCAAAAATGAAAAATAGAAAAATTGGCTTTGTTCACTTACATATATGCATTTACTTACATATATGCATTTACATATAATGTAGAATATAGTTTTAAGACTTAATATGATTTAATTCATTACTTGTTGCTCAGAAATTCATTCATAGTATGTGTTTATATTAAGTTAATGGTCATTTTTGATAGAAATCTTAGAGTTTATAGCCTTTGCCAGGTCAGTGAAGACAAATGAGACAGTTAACAAAAAAAAAGGATGCATGTGTATAACAGTTGATAAGCAATTACACACACACTGGCAGCAGTTGCAGTGGTCAGGAAAATGGCTGCACCATTTTTGTTGGCCTTTTTTACTCATCTTTGTAGACCAAGATCCTAATTAATGTTAAGACTTGCGATGCTTTGACATCAATTTAAGAATGTTGTTGGGTAATGACTGAAGAAAGTGTTAATACAGTTTTCTTTTTAAAGTTCTAATTGATCTTAGTGTTGATAGCTATATATACTATTTATATTATTATATTTAGTAGCACAATGTACATTTGTCCATTGTTGCAATACATTTAGTCAGATTGATGCAATTAATTTAGACAATTAGAACACTTTGAATCTTTTTATCATAATTTTGCACTATTTGCACAGTTATACATTGCCTTACCTACCAAACCTTTTTAATGATGATTTTGATTTTCAAACTGTTACCACAGGTTTTCAGTTCCATTACTGGAATTTGACAATTAAACTAGCTAGAAAGATGATATCATTGCTATATGTGTCTACTGATCCAGGTTGTACAGTAATAAAGATGTAAGGTCAAAATTCCACTCTGGGTTCTTGATTTTATTGAAATAATTTCTTTACTTTATTAAACTTCAAGCTTGTTGACTGCTGAATGGCAACAAGTCCCATGAGGTCCCAGAAGAGAGGACTGGTATAAGAGGCAAGCCCTTCCCAATGTGAGCCTTAGATAATCTCTTGTAAATAAAGGGATCGCTCCCATTTTCGGAGGTCATGGTGGGATAAAAAAAAAAGCTAATCCTGTGTTGCAAGAAAAGAAGAAAGAGAACAAGTGGAGGCGTAAAGTCAAGCAGGGTTGGAAAATATTTGACTCTCAGTCATGATGTGTTCAGACTTTACATCATGATGGACAACCAAATATTTTTTTCTGGCACTCCCTTTCAATCAATAAGTAAACTGGGGATCACCTTTAAAAAAAGAAGTCTATACAACAGGAAAGAAATTTATGTTACATAGCTAACAAGTGT